GTCTTCACTCAATTCAATCAAAAATATGCGCCAAAAATGAATCACATTTTTAGCCTTTTATTCAATTTAGAGACGAGTGAATCAAAATCGGATCATTCACTCAAAAGCTGTACTTTTCAATAGTTTGGCTTCAAATTTAGATTTAACATAAACTATATATTCAAATAGAGATCAATACAATTAATTGTTGCATCAAATGATTTCATTTCCTAATTGTGTATAAAATATTTAAAATCTTGAGTAAAATAAATGTTTTAAATAAAATAGAACTTAATGTTCACACAAAACATTTATCGTAAAAATTGACATTAGATTCAAATGATTATGACTTAATTGTTAGCACAAAATACTTGTTTTACAAATTGTAATTTAAAGGTTTAAATTTACAAAATAAATAACATTTACGATTCATTCAAATTCATTTCAAATGAGAATCAAATCACTTTATAATTAGATCTCATGATATAAAATCTCTTGTGAGAAAATATATGAATCTTACAAATAAATGCCTTAAATATAACTTACACGTCATGTCATGATCAATAGTTATGTCATGAATGCATTTACTATGTACTAAACATTTCAATTATAAATAAATATATTATTATTATTATTATTAAGATGACAACTTTCCAAAAAGATGTTGATAATGGCGTACAAAATATAGGCTTCAATACCTCTAGTAGTATTAATATACGATAGTTATAATACTTGGTTAGCAAATATCAAAATGTAGAGTCAATGCATTACTAATGCATCACTTGGCGCCCGGAATTTTGCCTAAAACCTATCAATACAATCAATACAAAACATTACATAATGGTTAACAATTAATTCAAATCATCAATAGAAATACACAAACCTTTGACAGATCGACACCAGTTAGGGCGTGAAGAGTGGGCGGTATCTGTGAGACGAGTCGAGTGACATCACTAGTGAGACCGCCATCAGAGCCACTAATGAGTACGATTTCATCGGTTTTGGCCAAAGGCGCGGCTACTTCTGCAGCGATCTGTGAGAAAGTGGTAAAAGGAGATACAGAATAACCGCAATACATATCACTCCCAAACCTTTGGCAGGGCTTCGAGTGTTAAGGAAAGGATGGCCGCCTCTCCGTATTGTTTATAAGCGGCGGCTTTCATGCGCATCATCTCAGCCTCGGCTTTGCCAATGGCTTCAATAGCATAGGCATCGGCCGCTCCTATCATTTTAATCTTCTGCCCCTCAGCAACACTCGCTTCCACAGTCTGTTTCGCCTTTCCCTGTGCTATGAGCTCTACTCTCGATGCCTCCGCTTCTGCCGGAAGTTTAATCATTGCTATCAACTCTTTATCTTTACGTAATATTTCCTTCTCTTCCACCGAAATCTCTTTTCGCCTGTAATTCATATAATTATTAATTATTATATGTTTAGATGACAGACATTAGTAATGAAATAATCATTTCATATAAACATCATTCAAACACGTGAACCAACTCTTCTCTTCACTTGATTCCAAAGTGCGAATAGAGTGGAGGGAAGTGAAGGGAAGGTTGGATCAAGTGATGGATGGGTGACGTGCCTCTCGACGACATCGATTTCCATTTCTTCGTTGCGGATCTTCTGTTGCATTTTCGCGGCCTGTAATTCATAAGAGAGCTGTGCCTCAGCCTTCTTC